TTTTTTTTGTTTTTATTAATTTTATGTGTAAATTTGAGGTGATAGGCAATAGTTATTTGTACATTTATACATGTAGATTAAAAAAATCTTTATTATTCTAATTTTAAATAACTTTTTATTTACTATAATAGTTTTTTAATATAATATATAAGTATGATATTGAACAGATAAAACAAAAAATATTTTAATTATATTTAATATGTAAAAAATGTAACTCAATTTGTAAATTAATATGTAATCTTGAGATAAAATAATGAGTGATTTTTGAAAAAAAAAAATTATAGGAACAAAAAAGTTAACGTGTTTAATATATTTTTAATAGAAAAATTGTAAACACAATTACCCAATAAATACTACATAAAAAATAATGTTTGAGAGGACTACAAAAATTTTGCTATATTGCAATGAAAAATTCAATGTTAAGGTATTCTACCGAAAATTTCAATGAATATGGTGCTTTCATTGGCTATTCCAATAGAGTTCAAATTAAATTACATGAACTTTAGTGGATGTAAAGATTTCAATTACCTGAATTTATATTGGAATTTATTTTTTGGACCATATTTCAATCATTTTGAAAAAATTGTTATGCGAAAATTCAATAGAAGTTCCATTGGAAAGATAATTGCAGTGATAGATCCAAAATAATTTCATACTGGGAGCATTATTTAGTTAATAGAAAAAAATATACCATCAAAATAATAATTTCATACTGGGAGCATTATTTAGTTAATAGAAAAAAATATACCATCAAAATAACATGTCATTGCAATTTATAAATTATACTTTACGTAATCTATCACCTTTCTCATTTGTAATACATTTTAATAAATCTATGCAATCACAATAAGGTAAAATATATTTAAGAAACCAAAAGTCAAGATTTTTCTATAATCAACATAAGAAAATCGTTATATTTGTTGGAATTTTTGTTGGAATTTTTTCATTTTCTTGTTGTAAAACTAAGACTCCAAATCTATATAAAAAAATGCATTACATATAATATTGTGTGCAACTATTATTATGAAAATTTTTGATACGATAGAAAATATAACATATTCAATGTAATTGGCGTTCAATTTATGATAAGAATTAATTTTTTTCAAAGCAAACAAGATACTTTGAAAGGTCCTTAATTATTTTATTAGTATTTTAATAACTAAATAAGGGGTAAGAAAGATGACAAAACTTATAACTCTCATTAAATCCAAAAGTAAAAATGCTGATAAAATTACTTAATGTACAATATCAGTTGGAGCTGGCTAATGATAAATATAAACATACTTAAGATACACATACATTTTAACTAGAACTTTTAAGTACATAATATACACACACACACACACACACACACACACACACACACACACACATATATATATATATATATATATATATATACATATATATATATATATTTATCTATATATTCATATGTATAAATGTTAATATTAAAATTTTTTAGTTAAGATTTGTATTACTTTCTATCATTAAATTTTTTAATTTTCAAATACTTCATATTTTTTATTTGTTGCCTTTTATATGTAATATATCACATCATTTATTTTCAATGATGTTTGAGTTGACCCATATATTGCAATAAAATAAAAATAATATAACTATTTATATTGATATAAAATAATATATATATATCAGTACTAATTTAAAATAATAAATCAGTCTTAAAGTAAATAATATAATAAATTTTATATTCAAGTTAAATCAATTTTATTAAGTATAAAATAACATAAGATAAACTTGTGGTATGTTTTCCATACATAAATTTGAAACAATTCATATTAAAAAGAAAAGTAAAAAAATCGGTGTAAACTTTTAACTGTTCCCACGTTTTGGCTAGAGCGTACAAATCTGATATATATATGTTTGACACGAGTTTGTCGTAATGCTGAAACTATGACAAATACACTTTATGGTACAAACGAAGCGAATCAATGTGAAGTCATAGATAAAAGGAAAAGCTAGGCCAGAGAAATGAAATGAAATACATTAGCTATGTGAAGTCAATTACTGCTGCAAAATGAACCATATAATGGTGGTACCATATATGTATTAAGTGATTATGAAAATGACTTAGTTAATTAATATTTTATCAAACATTGGAAAAAATTCTAAAACTTTTTAATCTAATAATTCGTATAAAAAGTACAATTTTATCAAATATATTAAATTATATTTAATCTTATGTGATTATATTAATTATAGCCTAATAAATAAGATATTTGATACCATCATTATATAAAACACATAAAAAATAACATAATACGTATAAATGTGCTTTAGTTACTTAGCAAATAAAATATTATTTGTCTATAGAATAATAAAAAAATAATATAATAGTAATGCAATGAGAAAAAACAAAATATGCTAATTTTCTTAGAAAAGTATGAATACCAATATTGACAAACAAAAAGTCTTTTAATATTATTACTTTTTTTGTTGCTAGCGTTTAAATATATGAACTCTGTAAGAAATTGGTTCTCATAAATAATGATCATATATTATTTATTTTCAATTTTAAATAATTAAAAAGTCTAAAAATTTGTATACATGATGTATATTTTAATCATGACTCCATAATAATAAACTTTACAAATGACTAAAAGTATCGTCATATAATGGAATTCTAATTCTTCTGTTGTCAAATATTTTAATAAATGATATGCTTCTCAATATTTTCTCATTGTTTTTTTTATCATTGCAAAAAATAGATTATATTGTTCGTCTATATTCCAGATAAATAACACTGAAAATGAAATGTACGAGTATCAAAACAGTTTTGAATGTTAGAATTAAGTTGTCACTTTTTATAAAAATATTTATAATCCCATTGGTGTATTGTGCTTGAACATATGTGCAATTACTTTAGAGGTACTTTCAGGTAATGTATAATGATTTCAAAAAATAATTTAGCACCTCGGG